TTTTTCTTTCTGAAAAAATTATTTACATATGACAGTATCATGGAAAATAAGTATACAAATGTGTAGTGCATATTTAGCATAGACAGTGTTAGGAAAGAACTAGAGAGAGTTTTTCAATTTTTTTTTTTTTGGTCTCAGAACCTTTTAAACTTAAACAATATGAAGATTCCAAATGAGGTTATAGCTACCAAATATACCATGTTAGAAACACTTGAAAACATGAGAATACACCACACTTGTTCCGATACCTATCAGCGGTGTGATGTCACCGCATATCTGTGGCCTCTGGAAAACTCCACTGTGTATGTGTGAGAAACTGAGGGAGAGGCTGGGCTGGAGCGGGGGATCCTGTAGCTCTCGTGCAGGCCTGGAGGAGGAGGGAAGATTTAGGAGGGCTGTGGGAAGATGGGTGGATTGGGAACAAGGACAGGGAGAAGGGTGAGTCGTCCAGGTGGAAAGCCTGGTGAAGGTCAAGCCCGCATGCACAGGGCAGCACAGCCAGGTGCAGGAAGAGCCCAGCTTCGGCTTCCGGATCAGACCACTGTGTGCAGTGCAGGGATGTGTTTGAGAGTCGCCTTTCAGCCTCAAATAGGGGTCACTATCTGCATTCAGTTTTGGCCTTGGCCTTGCCTTTGGCACCAAATATTAGAAAACCTAATTTGATGCCATTTGTGACCTCTCTGAACTGGTGTGTGATCAATGATACTACCAACTCTAAACAATGTAAAAATGTGTGCAATAGAATAAGGTGTGTCATTCATATTGATTGATAATACCTAAATATTGACATTCAAATATAGGGAGTAATTCTAGAAGCAACTTTGAATAAAAATCTTGTCATTGCAGTATGCTTAAATATGGTTACAATGAATGATTTTGAAAATTCTTAATTTTCTATATAAACCAGATTAAGAATTTTCAAGTAGTTGAATAGAGAAATAGATTATCAGTTAATATAGATATTAAGAAAGGATGCATTAATTTTAGGAAGAACATAATATACTTTTATGGTATCTCCCCCAAAATGTATATACAGTTGAACAGCTGATAGCTGTTAAATGAAAATGAAATGTATTTTAATAAACACTGCCTTTAAAATTGTTCAAAGTGTGTGCATACATTTTTGGGGACACCCTATATATATAAATATAACTTGTAATGCAAGGCAGGCTCATTGAAGCAAGTTTATGACATGAAGGCTGTTAATAACATTGAATAAAATGATTTTAAAAGATTTATTTAATTTTTAGGAAGTTAATTCTATATATGTCATGAGCTTTTCAAGAAAGAGACCTATCTGAGAATTTTTCTTCATATCTTGTGAGAATGAATCAAACTCAGAATGTGAATGCTGCCCCCCCTAAAACTTCACAAGGAGGAAGCAGGATGTCATCTCTGATAAGTCATCTTCAGTCTGCTCATAATAAAGAATATAAAAAGCTTGAAGAAAAGAAAGCATTAGAGGAAAGTAAGATACTCACAAAAGCTCTTGCTCCTCCCTGGATGTCCCTGGATGTGAGCATGTGTTTGAAATTACACATTTACAGGCCAGTGGCAGCAGCCAGCGATGCCAGCAAGTACTGAGCCTGCAAAGGCTGTTCTTAGGCTCTATAATATCTTATTATATCACATTGTTCTTTGTATGAGGGTTTTTGACCTCTGCTTCTTGTGTATGTTGATTTTTAGCATCCATCATTCAGCAAAATATGTATTCCATGCATCTCCTCTTCAGATTCTAGCTTGGTCACTTACTGTGCCTTTGGGCAAGTGACATAACCTCTCGATGCCTTGATATAGGGTCCTAAGTAATTGCAAATAATACCTTCTCTTCCTGCATGCATAGAGCAATGTGGAGGTGAGCCTGACCTGATTTGGCTGCTGCAGGACCCCAGTGATAGGAATGCTTATTTCCAGGGGTGAGTGGAAGCCATTCTAGATTGCCGACCAAGTGAGTGACATGACAGTGCTCAATGACTAGCTCTGGCATATACAAAAGGAAACACTGGATGGGAATTGACTGTAGGCAGGAAGGCCAAAGACAGGGCAGCAATTTAGATTCCTGGACTTAATTCTTGCATTCATGAAAATCTTTTTATTTCACAGAAATCGCTCATGCTGTAGTTTACATTTTCACCTGGCAAAGAGAATTCCGCTATAGGTTCACTATACTTCTTATTTCTCAGATCACACGCCTTACATTGCTTTGAAATTTTTCTCAAGATCTTTATTTCTATAGTCTATACACATTTATAATCTGAAAATAAAATCAGTTATTTAATGTACTTATCAGTGTTTAGGCATTTGCTTGCACTTCCTTTATGTCTGGAAGCATTTCATGTTCTTAAAAAAATTGCCTCTTTTAAGCACGATAAATGATTTTGGATGATAAGTTTTAACAGTTAGCTTATCTTAATAAATTCTACATATGCTTGTTTGAGGTAACATTTTTTTAATATACTTCTAGGTGGTTTTTGAAGGAAACACAAATGAATTACAAAGCTGGATGAAAAAAGCAAGAAAGCTACCCAAATATGATGATGTGGATGCCTCCCCTTTGCATTATGCTGCGGAAGAAGGTCAAGTTGAGCTGATGGAGATGATCGTCAATGACTCCTCTTGTGAAGGTAGCAAAATGTTACGATTGCTCCCTACCCATTATCCCATTAGATTCATTGAAGAAAGTGCTGTGAAGTTACTCTAAAGGTAGATTAGTTCCAGATTATAAAGGGCCTGCCTAGCTCACTCAGAGTGTGATTTCCCCTATAGGCCATTGTTCCTCAGTTTTCCCCACTGAAGCACTGCCCAGGACAGTGCAGAGATCTGGGACGCTGCATAGCAAGCACAGATTTTCTTTGAATTTTTCTGATGGGTCATAAAATTTCATATACGTTGTGTGTATCCTTCTATACTACTTTCATTGAGGTTATTCTACATTTAAATTGCTCATCAGTGAATAAAATTGACACTCTAAGAAGATGTAACGTACTCCCACAAACCCAGCCTCGTACACCCAGCCTCATTTGAGAAACTCAATTAATCAAGGAAGGTGGATGCCACAGAGATGTAAGCAGTGAGGTGTTGTGATAAGGCCTTTAATATTTAAGCTAATTCTGACAATATTGTGGAAGATGCATTGGAAGTGGAATCCCAGTTAGGAAGCTATTTTAGTGTAAAGAGAAGATGAGAGTCCACCAGAGTTTAGAAGTTGAAATAAGGAGAAAGGGAGAGATTCGAGAGCTATTTTGCACTTGGAGTCAACAGTGCTTGATAAAAGATTGAATGTAAGGAGAGAGTGGCAGGAAGTGACTTTGAGACTCCTAATTAAAGAGATGAGGCTGATAGTATAACCACTCGGGAAAGGAGGCATAGAAAGAAAACAGGTGAAAAGTGAGTGCGATGTGTGAGGGGATAATGAACTTGGTTTGGTCATACTGAGCTTGGAAGGCCCAGGGGCTATCCACTTGGAAATATCCAGTAGACAACTAGAAATACAGAAGGAAAGGCACAAGCCCTACAAAGCCATAGGAAGTAGCTGGGACTGTGGACATGCATGGAATCCTTTAGGAGATCATAGAATTGCCCATAAAGATAGCTAAGGGGAGCCACCAACACAGGGGTCAGGTGGCAGAGGAAAAGCCAGAGGCAAAATGGTGAAGAGAGTGATGGGAAGGGGATTGATAACACACCCAACAAGGGGGAAGGAAGATCACAGTACACCCTTACATTAGAAAGCCTCGGGGCCTTTGTAGCAATGATTTCTGAAAAGTGGTGGACATAAAAGCCAGATTCAAGTTATTTAATTAGTGAATGGAGTCGGTAAGTTTAGGCCCCTGTTTAACCAAGTTTGGTGCTGACTGAAGTGCTAAATAAAGTGCTCAGTCTTGATCAGACCGAATGGTCAAGAGATTGTGTGTGTGTGAGAGACTTGGGTTGTGTGAGTCTGTGAGTATATGTGTGTGTGTTTGAGAATGAGGCTTTTGGATGAATGAGAGGAAATAGTGCAGAGATAAATTTTGAAAAGAACAGACAGGGTTGCAGCATGGATCTAGGTTTTGTAGATGGTCCCCAAATCATTTTCACAAGTGAGTACTTTTCCCCCTTCTCAGACACACAAATAACTGCCACTAATTAAAATGGTGATAAAGCAGACAGTGGTGTCTATTTTAGAACAGATATAAGAGGCTGCCCATTCCTGTGCTGAGCACACAGAGTGAACAGCGCGATATGCCATACTGTAGAATACATGGAGGCCATGTGTGGCATTGGAGGCTCAGGCTCTAATTCCGGTCTTGTGGTTTATCAGTGGCGTGTGTTTTTTCTCATTAACATTTTCTGAAACATTGCAATGGGCCACGCACTCTGCATGAAGACATTTCATAACCTCCCCTGCCAAAACATTGCAATATGTATGTGTGCGTGTGTGTGTGTTTTAATTTTGATTGTAGTAATTAAATTTAAATATAAGAAAACTGAGTTTCAAACAAGTAAGCAACTTTCTGAACTCTACAAGCAGTGTAATGTTGGCAAGATTTTGAACCTCTGTAGGCCTCAGCATCTTCTTCTTCATAAAAAATGGTCATGGTTCCTTGCGGGCTATTGGAGGGTTCAATGAAATAATGGTTATATGGAACCTAGTAGAGTGCCTGACATATAATTATTGCTTTAATTGAGCATGATACATTATAACAGTCCCTGAATTCATACCACAGATAAAAGCATGTATCAATAGGAGGATCTGTTTCTTATTGATGCCACAGAAGGACATCTTACTCATTTGATGTCAGTGTCATGATTCTATTCATCCCTTCCAGGTGTCCATTAGATGTTCCTTGAGAACTGAAGCTATGGTTTTAGTTTGCATAAAGAAGGGGAAGCCTGTCACAGTAGCACCTGGCACTGAGCTTTGAAGTGAATAGTGATGCAGTAGGCACTCAGTCCCACCCAAGCAAAACCTAACCCGTACTTTGGCATCTCTTCCTAGTGTTGAATGTAATGGACAATAATGGAAACACCCCTTTGCACTGGGCGGCAAGAAAGAACCAGGTTGAAAGTGTTAAGTTTCTTCTCAGCAAAGGAGCCAACCCAAACCTCCGAAACAATGCCATGATGGCACCCCTCCACCTCGCTGTGCAGGGCATGCACAATGACGTGCTGAAGGTAAGCCTGGGCCGGGCGCCAGGGCCCGCTGCCCCTTCCTGGGAGAATGGCCAAGCTAGGCTGCCGGGCAAATAGAACGTGCTGATTGCACTGTTGGCTTTGCTTCTGACCAACTGATGGCCATGCCAGTGTTGGTGATGATGATGATATAGTCTTATCTTTGTCAAATAGTTCTTTGTTACCAAGCATTTGTCTAAGGGCTTTATATGTTTTAGTTTTTATATCCGCATTTAAGTAAGACTGTTACTATTCACATTTCATAGGTGAGGAAACTGAGGCAAAGAGAATTAAGTCACTTGCGCAATGTCAGATCACTGGTGAAAGCAAGAATTACGAATTCTGTTCTTACCTTGAGTTCGCAAGTTGATGCTTTACCGCCTTTTCATCATGGATTTAATGATTAAAAGGAAGGTGACGAGCGCCTCAGTGAAGACAGAAAACATAATTATAAATTATTATGTTGGTTCAAGCGGATGGCATGTGATAATTTTAGCAGAAGATATTACAATACTATAGGGAAATTTGTTATTTTTTTCAAGGTTTTTGTTTCTTTTGAGAGTAAATTAGATCAAGTAGAGGAAACCCTGGTAAATGCCTGAAGGGCAAGGTTTAGGCCCTGGCTTTCAGACTGCATCTCAATCTCGCAGACATGCTGGGAAGCCCACATGCTTACTTAAAGAGGAGTGCAATCTACAAATGGAACATGTTCCAGAAATACATTCCTAACGTAGGTAATTTGGAACTTATAATAAATTCTCCTGTAGAAACAATATTGCGAGTGACTTGGCTATCGTGCTAAGTCTTTGTCAGCTGGAGCTGCTGTGACACAGTATCATGGGCTGGGCGGCTTAAACAGCGAACATTCATCTCTCACAGTTTTGGAGCCTGGAAGTCCAAGAGCAAGGCACAGGCAGATTCCACATCTGGTGAGGACCTGCTTCTCGGTTCATAGATGGCCGTTTTCTTGCTGTGTCCTCACGTGTCCGAGGGGGCAAGAGAACTCTCTGGGTCTCTTTATAAGGACACGAATCCCCTTCATGAGAGCTCTGCTCTCAGGAATTAATCACCTACCAAAGGCCCCACCTCCTAATACCACCACATCAGGGATTAGGATTTCATTTTTGAGGGACAAAAACATTTGGTCCATCACACCACACCAAAACCTACTTTGTCTGTAAATCACCGAGGAGATCTCAGGGTGTCCAATGAGCTCCATGCTCGCTTTAACCCAAACACTGTCCTCTCAGCCCTCTGAGTCCTTGGTCCTTGTACTCCAGGAATAGAGGATGTGAGGGGAGCCCTCTTTCCACTTTCCCATTGTACCTGGTATATAGGCCTGTCTTAATTCTTAGCACAGGGTATTATAATCATGTGTTTATGTGCTTCTCTCCCCCTCTGGCTGGTTATCCTTAAAGAAGGGACTGTGTGTGACTCATCTCAATATCTCGAGTCCTTGGCACTGCTGATAATGATGACTCTGAAATGAATGAATGAATGAATGAATGAATGAATGAATGAATGAATGAGTAAATTGGGATTCTGGCTGAAGGAGAAGAGGAGTTTAGGTATCAGCACCTAAGAAGTCAGGGTGGCCCCTTGAGGACGTTATTGGAAAAGCCTCTGCCTGTTTGTTCTTTAAATGTCTGCATCCTTCATTCATGAACCATCCAAATTGGGCCACTAGTGACTGCAGGGACCCCACCTCCAAGCCCCAGAGATGTCACATAGTATTTCCCCAAGGAACTTTTGGGCTTCCTCTGAAGGCTCTTTTCAGAAACAAATGCCCATTGACTTAATTAGTCTTGGCTCTCAATGTGTGAACTGGGAATTCAAAGGCAGGTAATAGTTGAAAGGCTATTGTTAATTAGAAATCAGAATTCTTCAGGCCAACAAATACAGAAAGGTAGGTATCACACAGAAATAGAAAAGAAAGTTTAGAAATAAGCCCATAAGTGATTTATAAATTACAGTGGTGGCTATAGCACATTTTCCTGGGTGATACCAGGACAAGAAGGGAAGTAGGGTTACAAGAGAATGACATTATCTCTCTTTTACTTGGTCTTACCAGCCATCACTTCCTCTAAAAAATATTTTTAACCCCCTGTGCTTCACCTAAGATGAACAGAATAAAAGAAGGGGGAGGAATTTTGGAGTGTCTCACAGGCTTGCAAATGGTCTTCTTCCTTCCTCTCCCCATTACCCCAAGGGGCAGGCCTGTGCCCCACAAGTTCTGGCCAGTCTAGAATGCTTTTCCATTGTCTGGCCTGCCAGCCTTTCCCCAAACCTTCCACCGTGGCCCGTATAGTTGTAAACTGAAAAATTGTTACCCATGGTGACCTCTAGTTCTTGCAGACTCTGTTGGCATGCATAGTGTTTCCCGGGGCACACTGGCCTGTGCATAGGAGGGGGCCTTGTTTCTCAGTTGCTTACAGGCCTTAGTCCTTGGGGCTTAACCTCAGAATATCCAGTGACTTCACCCTCCCATGAAGCTTCTTGGATTCTCATCAAAGGGTCGTCTGGAGGCCTCACCTGAGAAGCTCCAGACGTGCTTGGTGGGTGCACAGTTTAGTTGCTCTCCCTGGGATCCACGCACATACAATTAAACACAGCTTTGTGAAAGATTGTGCTTTTGGTAATACAACAGTAACACCCGATACATGCTGTAGATCTATGACCTATGGCTCTAAGAGGGGAAAGCGGAAAATCTCTTCCTATATACTTGTGTAGGTTACTTTGCGTGTGACTCGACCATTTGTTAGGAACAGAATGTGAAGGTGCCTGCGTCCATCAAGTGAGCCTTGTGTTCTCATTTCCTGTCATCCATCAGAAATTTCTCCGTATGCTCTTATGAATGTAAATCTCAGTTTCATTTTCTTTTAGGAGCACATTAGTAAGCTTAATTTATTTGCTGAGACAGCACACACTCTTTTATCAGGGTACTCTAGTAGGAGGTAGTGTGCTTTTTAAAAAAAAGTCAAGGTTTTTAAGAAACAGCTTGTTTTAATAAATTATTTTTAAACAATTTAAGTTGTAGTACATTATAGTTTTATTATAGGCTTGCTGCAAGAAAAAAGGCCTCTAGTAGGTCAATCCCAAGATTTCTGTCTTGGGAGAGAGATTTATATGAGATAAGTATTGTTAGGTTTAATATAAAATAAAGACTGGCTAAAGATCTGTAGATTCTTGGCCAGTGATCAGCTGGAAGTCAACCAGGTGAAGGGGTAACAGGTTTTCAGTCAAGTTCCATTAGAAAAACTGCTTAACTGTTTTGTCAGGGGTCCTAATTTCCTACATCATAGAAAAAGTTTCTGTTCCAGACTGTCTGAATTAACTGAGTTAAGCTATACCAGTGTTGCATGAAACTCTCTTTTCTCTATTGAAGACAATGGAATTTTAATTGACATTTCCCAAAATACTTGCAATCTTGGTAAAAGAAAAATAGAGGGGGAAAAAGAAAAACCACATTTCTCCCCCTCACTCTTCCCCCTCTTTCCTTTCTTCCACCTTCCTCCCTCCCTAACCCTCTTCTCCCTTCTTTTCCTCACCCCCAATCCATATATTCCAACAGATTTATTTTCTTGAAGACTTTAGCTAACACAGTTTACTTAATACAAGTGAGAAATATTAAGTGAACTGTGTTAACTAATATCCACATTTCTTACTCTATGTCTGGTTCCACAACTGCATATTGTGTCAGTTGATGTGATGTGGAAATCGTTGCTACTCATCTGTTTGAGAAATCTGTGTAGCTAAGAAACAAACGGAAGCAAAATAGAGACAGATTCATAGATAGAGAGCAGGCAGGCAGCTCGGGGCAGGATGTTGGGAGGGTGGAGGGATTGAGCAAAAAAGAAAAAAAAGAGAGAACTCATGGAGACAGATAACAGTGTGGTGATTTTGTGGGTGGAGGGGGATGAGTGAGGGTAGAAGAGGGCATAGAGGGGGAAAATGGTGATGGAAAAAATTTAATTAAGAAAAAAAAGAACCTGGCTGGTGCGGCCCAGTGGTTGAGCATTGACCTATGAACCAGGGGGTCACAGTTTGATTCCCAGTTAGGGCACATGCCAGGTTATGGGCTTGATTCCCAGTAGGGGGTGTGCAGGAGGCAGCCGATCAATGATTCTCATCATTGATGTTTCTGTCTCTCTCTCCCTCTTCCTTCCTCTCGCTGAAGTCAATAAAAACATAAAGGAAACACAAAGAAATCTATGTAGAACCTACTACATGCGAGCTTTCGTGCCAGATTCCCTGGGAGAGGGATGAAAAGCTGTGAATAAGGTCGGGTCCCTGGCATCCGAGAGTTTATACTTTAACACCCGGTTTGGAAACCTGCAGGTGAACTTGTTCCCCTCTCTCCTGCAGGTCTTGATTGAGCACAGCAGTACAAATATCAATTTGGAGGGAGAAAATGGAAACACGGCTGTGATCATTGCATGCTCCAAAGATAACAGTGAGGCTCTGCAGATTTTGGTTTGTATCTTAACCTTATTTTTTGTTTTCTTTCCCTTTTTATTAGTACAATATTATTGTTATTTACAACTCTCAGTTTCTCTTTTTAGCAAAATATGAGATACAGAAAATATGTTATTAAAAATAGTTCTGTGTGTTTTTAATGTATGTACACACACCTTAAATCTTAAATGGATTCAGAAAACTAAACGGAAACATTAAAGAAAATATGAGAAGATCAAACTGAAATGAAAGTATAGAGAGGAAAACTTAAAATTAGAAAACCTGAGGTGGTGATGAGGCTAGGATACAAAATACAAAGTATAATAGCCCATGTGTTAATTAAAGTGGATCATACTTTTGACTCTGAACTTCTGAATAGTCCAAGGGAAGATAAATATAGTCAATTGCAGACTTACTGTTGGGCGCATGAAATAAAAGCCCAGAGAAACTTATCCCTTCATGTTACCAAGATGAGAAGAAATTGCTGCCATGGATTCTCAAAAAAGGGAACCCTGTGTGACAATAATGCTAAGGTCCTTGGCCACAGCACTGGAGGAGAGCCGCCTTCTCTCTGGGGGGTCTATGGACCCTGTGCCCGCCCATCTAAATGACGGCCTCCTGCTCCACCTAGTGCCCCTTCCAGCGCGGTGCTGGAATTCCAGTAAAGAGCTTTCTTCCCAAGATTCCTTAATCACTTGTATGTTAGCCAAGCCACATTCTATATTTTTACTACTGGATTTTCCCTCTCCGCCTTCTCAGAGAGTAGGAAAATGAAATAAAATAATTTTATAATATCTTCCTAATACTTAAATCTATAAATACATCCTAACGTATTTACTGTATGGAGAAAAATTCATATTATTTTAGCCTGTCATGATTAGACCAAAAAGGGAATAAATCAGTTAAATAACACTCAAACCTAGAATTTAGAAAAGAGCCTCAAATAAACCAAAAGAAAATTGGACTAAATAAATAGTAAAGTTGAACTCAAATAATAATAATTTTTAAATTATTTGATAAATTAAGAGTTATTTCTTTGAAAAGATACATAGATAAAGATTGGAAAGTCTAACTAAAACAGAAGAAGGTAAAGCACAAATAAATAAAATTAGAAATAAAGGGTTGGCTTTACTTGAATCTGATGGTAATTTTTAAATGACAAAAGATCAGTGTGCACAATTCTAAAAATATTTGTAAATCCCCATTTAATGGATTAACAGCTGAAAGTAATTAAAATTTCAAAATTAAGTAAAAAGTTAAAGACCTGTTGGGGACCATAAAACATTTTTAGAAAGAGCATTACCAAAACTCTGGAGCAGCTGATGAATTTCACCATATAAATAAGTTTGGATGTAAAATCTTAAAAGTGCTAGCAATTAATTCATCAAAATAATTAAAAGAGTAACATGACATGCATGTTGGCCTTATGCAGAGAATGCACAGATAGTTCAGTACTGGATTATAACATCAATTGGCCTGAGCAGGCAAAGCATATGATTATATCTATATGTTTATTTATCTTTAAATGGATACACATTTATCTATATGGTATTCTTACAGATCTATAAGGAAAAAACGATACTCCATGGAAAACTGGCAAGGGGACACATGAAGTTTAATTAATTTCTCTAATAATCAAAGATGAAAAAACTTTGTTGATATACAATTAGAGAAATTTTCATGAGTTGGGGAATTATATTCAGTGTGGGTGTGAATATTTTGACTCACCAATTCCAATTCTGGGAATACATCCTTGAGATAATTAAAGCTATCATTGATGTTAACACCAGTATTATATATAATCAGAGGGAGAAAACTGAAAAAAAAATTGAAGTTCAATTAATAGGACTGACTGTATAAAGTTTTGTGTACCCCAAAATGAAATATGCACTTGATAAAATTATATTTTTAAAGACTATTGGTAAGTAAAAACTTTTCTGAACAGTATGATCACAAAGTATACACATAAAAATTACCTTTGCAAATAAATAAGACAAAGAAATATATTGTCTTCTATCATGTAAAGCAATGCTGTCCCTAGAAGGCGAGATTGTAGGTAACATTTACTTCATTACACTTTTCTACTTGCCAAAATCTTTTCTTTTATGATAATAAAAAGTACTTAAAACCAAAGTCTAATTATCTATAGAAAATGACAATTGAAAATGATTGACTCAGAAGTCAAGGTAACATATGATTCAGTACTTCTACCATCTTTTTTAGTGGAGAATTTCCATTAGGGAAAATATCTGATTTTCATAGTTAACAAGAATGCTGGTCTCATCATGTCTTCATTTTACATAAATAAAAGTAAAAGAATCTGGGAAATATTATATCACTTTATTTGTATAAGGAATTGAGACAGGGTGTAGGAGGAATCATGTTAATGTTTTAAAATATCTCATGAATCCCATTGAAAACTGTGTTGACTTTTGTTTTCTGAGGTATCAAGATTGATGGCTTGTGTCTACGTTGTCACCTCGTCTTTGGAAAATATAGAGTGTCTCTACTTCAGAACCTTAGCCTCGTTCCCAAGCTGCCTTCTTGCCTCAATTTCGTGTCATTTGAAGCTCTTCCATATAGTTTGACATAATTATAGAAAAGTGAAATGACCTGGGAGAGCACCTAACTCCTGGTCCGCCCTTGCCATGTGGGGTTTAAGTTGTGTCATTTGACTTTTCGCCGTTGTTCTTTCTTTTCCTCCAGTTAAATAATGGAGCTAAGCCGTGTAAATCAAATAAATGGGGATGTTTTCCTATTCACCAGGCTGCCTTTTCGGGAGCCAAAAAATGCATGGAAATAATATTAAAATTTGGTGAGTAGAGGCTTTCCTACATTATATACTATAAGGAAGCTTATACTGGTGGATGCTAATAATTTGAAAAATAACAATTTATATGTGGGCTTTTAAGTAAGTCTAAATGTCCTTCTTTAAAAAAATCCTTTTATTTATTTATAATATTTCTTATCTTGAATTTTCTTTTAAAGGTGAGGAGCATGGGTACGACAGACAGTTTCATATTAACTTTGTGAATAATGGGAAGGCTAGTCCTCTGCACATGGCAGTTCAAGGCGGTGACTTGGACATGATTAAAATGTGCCTGGACAACGGGGCCCAGTTGGAGCTGATGGAGGTAATTGTTCATATTCTACATGAGACGTTTCTTTTAGAACTGTCATAAATTATTTTCCAAAATGCTTTATAGCTCTTTTACAGTTGATTAGATGGAAACAGATATTTCCTGCTGTTTGTGTAGAAGCAGAACAAGAGAATCTCCCAAATTTCAATCTACGAAAAGAATTTTGAGAGCTACCAAAGCAACTGCAAACACAAATACAGATCCAGTAAAGATAATGATACTGTTAATGACAGAAGTATTGTCAGAGCTGTGAAGAGCTGTCAGATTGCAAGGAAGCAAAATTGCCAGCTATGATTTTTATTCTGATGCTTTTCAATAGATGAAACTGATGGCTGTTCATCATCTTAAGTTACATATTCCGTGATTTTGTTGACCTGGGAAGAAAAACCCTCACAGCTGAATTTAGGTCACATCCTTCGTTTGGGACTTAGGCATTGACCCTGGTTTCACAACTCATTACAGAATGGGAAGTGCACGGCCCTTCATTTCGCCGCCACCCAGGGAGCCACCGAGATCGTGAAGCTGATGATAAGCTCCTACTCTGGCAGCGACGATATTGTCAACGCCGTGGATGGAAACCAGGAGACGCTGCTTCACAGGCAAGTTCCCTGCTTACCGCTCTGTAGAGATGCCCAGTCTCCAGGTGTTCAGTTATATGCTGCAAGAAGTTAGCACTTGCATCAGAGATTCTGGGGTTCAAAAGAAAAGAACACGCGTAACAAAGCTCCTGGGGTTCCACTGGAAACGACGTGCTCCTCTGGAATCTAAGCAGAACCTTAAGTAGATTCCCGAAGAGTGAAATCACCAGTGGCGTATCCTGGGTCCAGCTCTTAGTCCCGTGGATATAGGTTCAGGATTAATTTCCTATATGGTCAGAAGGTCAGCATCCATGGCTTGCCACACCCTTTCTATCTGTTCCGGCTCCTCCTGTGTCTTAGCCTCATTTTTAGTGAGGATAATGGAGCAGATAAAAAGTGTTCCACTTTTATCACCCTCTTCCCCCTTCTGCCCACCCCCAAAATGATACAGGTTTCAAAACATCATTTTAGGAAACGATAGCCAAGTTCCAAATATTTCTGTAGAGTTGAACAAAAATACACATCAGAGAAAGCAGCGTCTGAAACTGTAGGCACACTAGATGCTGCTAGGACAGGGAACAAGCGGTGTAGACAAGGTCCAGTTTCCTCGGGAAGACAAGGGCTTCATGCTTCCTATGCGATGAAGGAGGTGAGACTTGTCTGTCTCTGTGTCTCTCTCTGCCCTCTCCTTCTCTCTCTCTCTCTCTCTCTCTCTCTCTCTCTCTCTCACACACACACACACACACACACACATGCACGCACAAACTGTGAGCACACTAGAAGCTGGAATGGCAGAAGAAAGCTGAGATAATACATATTGTAAATCTGTAGTATCCCTCAGGGAAATAGAAACTTTAGCTACCAATATAATATTTGCTTCTAGACTGGGGAGGAGCATTGGTGAATGTACATTAGCAGCACCACCAGGCACAGTGGGGCCTGCCTGGGTAGAAAGGAATTAAGGAACTCCCACTTAGGATGAGTTTGTTAACTAAAATTTCCTAGCGTAAAGGAAAACTTATTAAAGACAACAAAATCAACAAAAGACTTCTTCCAAGGAAATAGAAATAATATAGTAATCTGAAAATAATTTTTAAATAATGTTATTTAAGACCTTCAGAAATTTAAAGGAAAGAGTAATCAGTTATGTAAAATTAAGTAGATTAAGATAACAGATTATGAGAAACAGATTGGCATGAATGAACTGAAGATTGTTATATGAAAAAGATCCAGTTAGAAACCCTGGAAATGAAAAAGAAAGCATATGAAATAAAATAACTCAATAGATAGACTAACCTCTAGCCTGGAGAGTCTCCAACTGCACACGTTCGAATCATGGGGAGTTTATAAAATCCTAATGTCAATTCATATCCCAGATTACATTAGAATCTTTGGATTGGGTATCAGGAATTTTTTAAGCTTCTTAAGCGATTACAGTGTTTAATTTAGAAATGCTTTCATCTGGGTATAGTTAACATGTATCCATTTAGAACACAGCTTTAATATACATAATACATAAATAAATATGCAAAAGAAGGAATTATTTTAGAAAAATAGATCCATCTACCTCACCCATAAATATCCTTAACCTAGCTGGATATATTCAACTTGGATTGGCCGAAGATTTCTTGGTCCAGTTCAGCCCAATTCTGATTAAATACTGACCTAGGATTCTGGAATGACCTTCTAATAGCCAGTGACATTTGGAGTCTATATTGGGCTTCAAAGGGAAGTTTGCTCTTTAGGATAGAATTCCTTCTGTTACTTTTATAGTGCAAAGACCTCAGAGCATTGTTCTGGCTGAAACAGTGAGCTTTGGAGTCAGAGGAATGGGGTTCCAGCCCTACCTGGCCATGTAACCTTTGGCATGTCGTTTGACCTCTTCAAGCCTCAGTGTCCAGATCCATTGAGAATTTTCATTTCTAATGGACTCTCGGGTGGTGCCAATGTTGCTGGTTTGTAGCCCACACTTTGCATAGCAAGGCTGTAGACTGGGGAAATATAAGAACAAATCAAATGGGGCCTTAATGTCATTATTTGTTTCTTAAAATTACCAAATGCATTTAATATAATTTAAACATAATACAACCTCTTGTAAATTTGGGGTCAAAACTGGCAAGCTGATTCTGAGCTTTATATACAGAGGGCTAAGAATACCTAAGATAATCTTGAGTAGGAACAGGGAAATAAGATTTGCCATAGGAAACAAAGTTTTAAATCATTCGCATTTGTTATGGTGGTGCTCGGACATAGGTTGAAAACTTTCATTTGCTTTATTAACATTACCCTTACGACTAGCTGTGCGATGATACCAAAATGACTTCAGTTCTCACCATCATTTTTTTGGCTTCATAAAACCTCAGGAAAGCTAACTCTGCCTGTTCACTTTTGCCAAAGGGCACATTTTGAACCCTGCAGGTGAATTTTAGGTGCCTGAACTCGTTATTTCCCAGGGGCAACAGCGGTAACAATCAGTTCGGTTACCTTTTACTTTAAACTCTTAGATGTTACCACTCACTTCAGGACATCTGCATTACGATTTCACATGAGAAAACAGGTTTACAAAACGATGGGGAAGAAAATCTTGTGATGCATTTGATGTTTCTCTATTACTATTATTTTGAAAAAATTACCCTAATCAGAACCAATTACAGATTTTGAAAGGTTCTTAATTTTCTGTCATTTTTCATGTTATTAAGTGATCATTTAAATTGATTTTCTGAATATAATAGCCTTATTTTATATCAATAGTAGCTTATTATACTTCTAATTCTCTTTTTTGCAGGGCCTCATTATTTGATCACCATGAACTAGCAGAATACTTAATTTCAGTGGTAACTATTCCATTGACTGTTTATTACTATTTATGGTTGAAAAATCATATAATTACATAGTGTGAATTTTAAAAAATAAACCAAATTTTAATTTCTTGTTTATCAGCAAAAAAGTTTACAAAAAGATGATTGACACATATGCAAGTGGAGTGTATTGCACAAGAATACGTAACAGCCAAATGTCATTACCGTGAAGTTAGAAGGACCAAAGGGTATCCCGATGCCTGCGTCAGTGTGTTTCGCGTGGGGAGTGGGTGGGCACATGGCAAGAAAAGCTCCCGAGTGTCAGGCTTGGTGACTCTGCTGACCCTTCCCTGGTACAGGAGACTGAGGTGGGGCGGGACTGGCAGCACCGGCCGCTTCACACTCGCTTGAGCTCCCGCCCCAGCTGCCTCGTGCTGTCTTTGTCATAAAAAACTGAGGCATTAACTTTGAGTTAAATTTTAACAGATGAATATATGATGTATTTATTTAAGTCCTATCATATCAGCAGTGAATGTCGTTTCGTTTGTAGTATTTAATGTGTGTTTGTTGTCAATAGCAACTCTTTGATATGGTGATAGTTACATTTTAANTGAATGTCGTTTCGTTTGTAGTATTTAATGTGTGTTTGTTGTCAATAGCAGCTCTTTGATACGGTGATAGTTACACGTATTTTAGNCGTTTGTAGTATTTAATGTGTGTTTGTTGTCAATAGCAACTCTTTGATATGGTGATAGTTACATTTTAAATGAAGTAGATTTTTAAAAAAGTGATCAGTTGCTTGTGAATGTTTTAAAAATCTTGTATGCAATACATTTGGAAGATTTTTTAATTATGGGCATTTAAAAACCTTTTCTAAGTGAGAACTCAACTATTGCTAAAGGTCAAAGGGTTTTGTTTTTTGGTTTAGATAGCAACATAGGTCTTATCGCCAGATGTTAAAAAGATTGACCTGTGAGGATGATTTTTGTTGTTGAAATGATAAAAGGATTCCTTGATTTCTGATGTTACAGTATATGAATTATAGGGAAATTTCAAGCAGTTCTGTAGTTAGTCACATGCTTGGGTGCTGCCATGTTGTGGGCACTATATCCTGATGAATTAATATTATTTACAGATTGTAATGTAAGCCGATTTGTCTGTTCATAAGGTTTTGTTGAATGCCTTGTCTTATTTTAGGGAGCAGATATTAATAGCACCGATTCTGAAGGACGCTCTCCACTTTTATTAGCGACTTCTTCTGCATCCTGGAATATCGTAAATTTGCTCCTCTCTAAAGGTACCATGAGGGATCAAGCCAAACCTTTAGAACTACCACTTAATTTGGTTAACCATTTATGGTGGGCCAGGCATTGGGCCAGGTGCTTGAATACAAAGATAAATAGAGTATTTCCCAAGTCTAGACTAGTATTCAGTCCAGTAGGGGATCAGTACTTAAAAAGATAATTTCAGAACAATTATAGATAATAGTTATAAAGCAGTTATCATATCCCAGGCATTTTGCTGAACATTTTATCTACATTCCTTCAATGGTTAAACTTTATGCCATATAAGTACTATAACTGTCCCCATTTTAGATACTAACCTGATGTGATGATAACAAAGAACAGAGGTATCATCCCCTCTTCTTTCTTGATCTCTAATCTCTCCATCTTTATAGTTTATGCTTTCAAAAGTAAGACTCTATATATTAATTAATGTAATAAATCATATATTCTCTCCCCCCCTTTACATACACACACACACACGCGCGCGCGCGCGCGNATTAATTAATGTAATAAATCATATATTCTCTCCCCCCCTTTACATACACACACACACACACACACGCGCGCGCGCGCACATAGTACACACAACAAGGTAAACCCATTTTTAACTATATTTAGTTTTCTTATCTAAAGTTTAGATAAGAAAACTAAAGGTTGGCAGAGATTTAAGTCAAAACTTATTTTTGGATTCTTAAATTAAAACTCTACCATAGGCCGTGCTTTAAATAAATGAGTAGCCCTGGACGATTTGGCTCAGTGGTTAGAGCGTCAGCCCACGGACTAAAGAGTCCTGGGTTCGATTCCAGTTGTGGCGCGTACAGGAGCAACCAATTGATGTGTCTCTCTCATGTTGACGTCTCTCTGTCTCTGTCTCTCTCTCTCTCTTTCTCTCTCTCTCCTCCTTACACTCTCTCTGAAAAGCAATGGAAAAAATATCCTTGGGTGAGGGTTAAATAACAAACAAACATAAATAAGTGAGAAGTTATATTTATGTTGTGCTTTTTTAGGTGCCCATGTAGACATAAAAGATCATCTTGGACGTAATTTTTTGCATTTGACTGTCCAGCAACCTTACGGATTAAGAAATTTGCGACCTGAGTTTATGCAGGTAATATGTCTGTATATATGTGGATTCCCAGAAACTGAGTTGGGCTCAACAGAGAGTAAAGTGATTTTGCTTATTATGATTTTTATTATTATGAAGGCTGATTCTGGAATTTAAAAATTATTTTAAAATAAAGTTGCCATATTTAAATATTTATTTACAATATAGTTGTGATGATTATGATGATGATAATAAATTACATTGGGATTGAGTTTTCCAAGTTACAGAGGGTTCCCACATATCCCCATCTGTCTATATTGAGCCAGCATTCTTTCACTCTTTGACCATTACAAATTGGGAATCAGTGAAAAGGCCAGGTACACATGTAGGCTAGCAACACACCATCATCAATTAAGAAAAACTCATCATACTTGACTTGTTGACACTTTGGAAACATTATCTCCATATTTATATTCACTGACTAATATTTATTGAGTGACTCTTAGGTGTATGAAGTGCATCATATTTTTATAATAGATTTAAATATTGCCAATATCTTTAATAAAGAATTAAAAATGTACAGGGGCAGATTTATAGTTGTTCATATGGAAAAAGACTTGCAGGTTATGCTGATCACAATAGCTTTATTAACTCAAAAGAATGTTACTCACAGCGGTAAACTTTCTTTTGCCCACCCCTGTATTTGAATATTTTAAATACAAATGTTTGCTTATTGATTGGATTAAGCTGCTCATTTGGCATTCATTTTAAATTTAATATTCATACAAAAGATAAAGGAAACCTAATTTTAATAGTTCATCCCTTTTCCCTAACAGAACACATTAGCATTAAGTTCTTAATTGTTATTTGGGGGGAGAATGAAAAAAGGGGTGCGGAGGATGGTCAGTGGTCTAATATGTTTGGAAAATACTAGGTTAAAAATGTTAAGTACATTTCCTACTCTCAGAATTTCCCAGAACCTTTTCACATTACAGTAAAGTACACTGTAGGGAGACAGCATGCACTGTCATCCATATTTATTTTACTCTATTACCCTTCCGGTTATTTATAATTTTTGTCCTCAAGGGAGCTTGTTGGAAAATACTATGCTATAGAATAGTTTGAAAAACACTATAATTAGCATGATAGCAGAGTTATGTTTAGAATATTATATTTTTCCCACAGATGCAACACATTAAAGAGCTGGTCATGGATGAAGACAACGATGGGTGCACTCCTCTGCATTATGCATGTAGACAGGGGGTCCCTGTCTCTGTAAATAACCTACTTGGCTTTAATGTGTCCATTCATTCCAAAAGCAAAGATAAACAATCACCCCTACATTTTGCAGCCAGGTAAGGGTCAGTTGATGTGACATATGAGCCTGTCATCTTCCTGTTTGATATTTGCTTTGAACATATGAAATCTAATTTTTTCAAGTTATGGGCGTATCAATACCTGTCAGAGGCTCCTGCAAGACATGAGCGATACGAGGCTTTTGAATGAAGGTGACCTTCATGGGATGACTCCTCTCCACTTGGCTGCAAAAAATGGGCATGATAAAGTAGTCCAACTTCTTCTGAAAAAAGGTGCCTTATTTCTCAGGTGAGGATATATGATTAGAATATTTATATGTATTTTTTAACTAGTTAGCCATTTCCAGGCTGTTTTCCTATTTTATTTTAAATTATGGTACCTAACTTTCTATCTCCCTGAGTACTTTTATCTAATTTACTTCTTGAAACATATGAGACTTCTGAAATATTGAAAGAGAAGTCAGTATTATTTTCAACTGGTGAATGAAGACATTGAGATTTATAGAGTTGAAGTTCACAGAATAAATGGACACAGACAATAGTGTGGTGAAGGCCCTGGGAGGCTGTGGGTGCAGGGTGGAAGAGGTCAATGGGAAAAAAAGGGGTCATCTGTAATACTTTCAACAATAAAGATAAATTTTAAAAAAAAGAATACCTGGCTTTGTGCAGAGTAGTTCCCAGGAGTTTTGAAATACAGTTCCTCATATTTTACCTCATCACGCCATCATCTTTTAACGCAGATACAAAACTGCATGTGTACATGTATCCACACCCATACATATGCAAAGGCTCTACTTTTCATTCCACCTGATGAATGGTAGATGTAAAAAGTGCCCTTTAAACTACAACATGAGATATAAAATATTCCTGAATTTCATTATACTTAACTTTATCATAAGGAGCAAAATCAAATTAAAATAATTATGCATAATAAAAAGGTAGCATAATTAAATGACATGTTTATAAAAGGAAAATAAAGCCCCAGAAAAGTTTTATAGACATATGATGAACTATCTTCTAATGTCACCCAGGTGAATGAGCAAAGAGCTCATTAGGCTCATGTTCAGAAACACATTTCTTTATCAGACTGCCAATCCCAGCAACGTCCTGAGGCAGCTGGGCACTGCTGCTCTGCTCATTTCCTTCCTGTTTCCATGGGGACACCAGGCAGCGACCTGCAGAGGGGACCCCAGTGGACCCAGGCCAGAGAGCTGTTACTTAATCACACCGTAACTGAAATAGCGAGGTGGCTCTTGCACCCTAACACAGTTGCTCATCAGCATTGAAATTAAATTTAATTGAAATTAAATTTGGAAAAATGTCAAGCCTTCATCGTATTTAATACTAAATTTCTGTGAGAAAAGACAAACATTTTCCAAAGGGATTAAATAAGCATCTTTGTGACCAGAGAGGAAGATCTCTTCAGACCTAAACTCACAGAAAACTATATGGCACTAAGTTAACTATCTTATAGTCATGTATTATAAGATGATGAAATTATCACAATTATTATTAGTAGTAATAACTAGTGGCCATGAAGACTATTACTACCACCATGGAAATTTTTGATACAATGCTCAATGAAAGAACAAAACAAGATTTAAATTGTGTGTATACTATATTACAGCCTTGGGGAAAAATATGTATGACACAAACGTGCTAACTTTAGTTTCACCTGCCCCAAGTTTTTGATATATATACTTTTATACTTTAATCTGCTACATATTGAAAAATATGTGTGAGTCACATTATAGGTAGATCATTAGTTTTAAAATTAGCTCACTCACTGTAAGTATGTAATAAATATTTAGTTCCTAGAACTTAGAGTGCTTTTTTTTTGGTCATGAGACCTACCTTTCAGATGTGTGGCACGCCGTCCCACATTTCACCTGTAAGGGGAATGCACACATCTTTTCTTAACTCTTTAACAGTGACCACAATGGCTGGACTGCCTTGCATCATGCTTCCTTGGGCGGGTACACTCAGACCATGAAGGTCATTCTTGACACTAATTTGAGGTGCACAACTGATCAGCTTGATGAAGATGGGGTACGTACTCTGTTCTTCATACCGCCCCCAAATCTTAGCATATAAGAAACTTCAAAAATCACAAAAAAGCTTTCCTCTTAGCCACCCTCTTCCCTTCCTTGCCCTGTTCATGGCCTTTTATTGGGCCATTACTATGCAGACCCTTAGAGAGAGGAATGTGTGGAAGGGGAACAGACCCTGGAGAATGCTAAGGGGTGGGTGCCTGTTGAGGACACCTCTTCAGTCTCGCAGAGACTGGTTCACAGGCCTGTGGTGACCGATGATAGAATTTCCACCACTTTGGTGAGCTGAGGAAAATGAAGGAGGCAGGGGTAAGTCTTCATAAATCCAGTGTATTTGATTTGTAGAGCTTTATTTTGCTATGATGTTCTTCCTCCTTTTTAGGAGGGCAAGTGTTGAAATGTAAATTCTTTCACTAAATGATGGAGATAGAAGATTGTCACTGCTTTTTAATAATGTCTTTATGTAGCAAAACAAAAGATTAGCAGTCTTATAGAAGCTCTGATTTAAAAAAAAATTTATAATCCTGTGAAAACCCCAAATCCGGGATCCACTGCTCTATGAAATGATAAAATGTTCCAGAAGTGTTTTCTTCTGTGCTCATTCCAGCATCCTTACCCTGACAGCTTGTCTTCTGTCCCCATGGAATTATCCCGCTGCAAAAACAAAGCAAAACAACCGCTTGGAATTCATGTACACACACACAGCCCCCTCCCAACACACATGCCATGCTTAAACTATGAACTTATTATTTTGAAGCTTGATTCTGAACACCAGTTTTAAATTGTATGTATTTTGGTATTAAATGGCTAGTTTTGTTAATAATTTCTTTTAAGCAGTTCAACAATGAAACATGACAATGAAATAGCCAAGGGAAGATTGGCCATTGTCACTGCATTTCCGTGTTCTATTTTCTCTAAAAGAATACAGCACTTCACCTGGCTGCAAGGGAAGGCCACGCCAAAGCCGTCACCCTCCTTCTGAGCTACAACGCTGACATCATCCTGAACAAGCAACAGGCTTCCTTTCTTCACCTTGCCATTCACAACAAGAGGAAGGAGGTGGTTCTTATGACCATCAGGAACAAAAGGTATGCTGTCTTCCTGTCCCCTGTCCTTGAGTGTCTCCTGGCATGAGGGATGATTCACAACCTGAGTGTAAACAGAAAGAGAGTAAGTTTCAGCTGTTAATCCACATTTTAAAAATGTCAGTTGCTTATAGAAGACTTTTAATGGACTCGGATGACAGCAGACATTCTGTTTGACCTCTCAGATCTTCCGTTTCCATTTCTAAATCTTGGGAGCTTGGACCACCTTCGTGGCTGTCTTGGGAGACTCGGGGGTTCAGGTGTGTGTGTAGTGTCTAGCATCATGGTCACTGTCAAGCAGACTCTGCCCTGTCCTATCTGAACTTCCCTGACACTCTCTTGCCAACAGAAACCCCCAAATTGGATGTTGGTGAAAATATTCTCCAAGGTGGTTATTGTCACTAGTGTCACCTAATGGAATTTCCCATAACACCTGATCTTCTGTGGTGGTAGATTTTTTGAACAACTTCTAGGAGCTTTCATGATGAAGTTGGAGAGTAGTTTGTCTCACTTCTCGTGCATAAGTTTGTCTATATAAACACAGACAGATACGTGCAGTGGCCCAGTGTCACCCAGTAGTGGACACAGAGGGGAACCATCTCATGTTCAAGGCAGATAAGGCCTGTGTTTTTGAGCATGGGACAGTCTCAAGATCCCCTGCTGATCATTCTTTTGAAGCACCTGTCAATGCGTGCAATGGGAAGTTTTCTACTGATTATGCAGATATTCTACATGGATTTCACTGATAGTGTTAACAGAAAACTTGTCTGAGTAGTTTTTAGAACTAGTCTCCTATGACTTAGATAGGCTTTTGGGGGTAAAAGGGCTCTTCTTTACTTCCTGTTGTAGATCTGTTTCCTCCTTGGTATCATATCTTCTCATCCTGTCCTACTGAATGGAAATGAAGAAAGGGGCAGACTCTGCAGTGTTCTGGCAGAACCCATGCTTGTTAATATACTTGACACATGTTATTTTGTAGTTTAATTCAATACATGATGTAAAAATGGGTTAAATACTAAATATCCTGTGCCCAGTACTGTGTTGCTATCCTGTGTATGTGTATGTGAGTATCTCTACCCAACATGACCAGCTTATGATCTCAGGAGGAAAAGAAGGCAAAAGCCTACCTTCTTTAGAAGGCATTTAGAGAAAGAGAACAGCCATGGTAACAGCCATCCTGGAGTTGGCCCACATTTCTAATTCCCATTAATGGACAAGGACCCTATTAATGGATTCATCTTGGTTCAAATATTGGTTCCATTGGAACCAATTCAAGTTTCTCATAAAGATATAATTTTTTTAAAAATTGTTTTTATTTCAGAGAGAGGAAGGGAGAGGGAGAGAGAAACAGAAATATCATTGATGACAGAGAGTCATTGATCGGCAGTCTCCTGCACACCCCCCGCTGGGGATGGAGCCTGCAACTCGGACATGTGCCCTGACCAGGAATTGAACCGCGATCTCCTGGATCCTAGGTTGATGCTCAAACACTGAGGCACGCCTGGCTGGGCTCAACCAATAGCTTTGTTGTTGTGCAAAATGGAAGAATTAAGACTTGTGTTTTTTTATTATATTTTTTTTACAGATGGGAAGAATGTCTTAAGGTTTTTAGTCATAATTCTCCAAGCAACAGATGTCCAGTCACGGAAATGGTAGAATACCTCCCTGAATGCATGAAAGTAAGCTCTCCAAACAAAACTCCTGGGTACATGCTTGGCATATAATATAATGTGAGGATTTGCTGTTGTACTCACAACATAAATAGTAGTAATTTCCATCTTTAAATAAAGTTTCTAATTTTCCATAGGCTATATGGGAAGTTAGCCAACAAGTATATAAGAAGGACCTACTTGGATTAAAGGATTCCATTAGTTGTCATGTGAAAAATAGAAAATATGGGCAACAGATCTTTTATTCAAATAATCCAGGTCTAGAGCAGAGACTCATAATGGTGGTTGCTGACTGAACAAATCCTCTAGATGTTTTTAATGGAATGCATGTCATTGTTTCAAATTTGCATTAGTTGCTAACATTTAAAACTAGAAGGTTCCCCTTAAGGATCCAGATATCTGGCTTCCAGTAAACATCACATCTGGTGACTGGGCCTACCTGCGCACAAGGCAGGAATCACTGGGTGAGTGAGTAACAGCTGCTTCCTTTGGATGAGCAAGCACCCTCCCTTCTCTCACACCAGCCTCCTCCTTTTGTATATTTAGTCCTAATGCCCAGTGTTAGCTGCCTTGTATTGTCATTCTGTGCAACTGCTTCCCCTGTACTAGAGTGATGTTTCTCTACATGTGCCTCTATCCAAACTGTGAAGAGTGAAAAAGAAGGAAATCTTACCTTCTGCGACAGCATGGATGGACCTGGAGGGTATATCTCAAGTAATATAAGCCAGTGGGAGAGACAAGTACCATATGGTTTCACTTATATGTGGAATCTAGTGAACAAAATAAACAAAATAGAAACAGACTCATGGATAACAGAGAACAGACTGACAGCTGTCAGAGGGGAGGGGGTGGAGGGCTGGGTGAAATAGGTGAAGGGATGAAGCAAAACAACAAAAACTATAGACACACAACAGTATGGTGATTACCAGAGGGAAAGGGGCGTGGGGGAGGCAGAAGAGGGTATGGGGGGAATAAATGGTGATGGAAAGAGACTTGACTTTGGGTGGTGAACACACAAGACAATATCCAGATGATGTATTATATAGTTATACACTTGGAAGCTATATAATTTTATAACCAATGTAATCCCAGTAAATTCAATTAAAAATTAATACAAAAAGTAAAATAAATGTAAAAAAACCACCCCAAATGTGAATATAAAAGCCAGCCCAAGGAGAGCCAACATGTCAAGAACAATGGGGAAGAGCCCTGAAGGCTGGCGTAGCTCATTCCTTTACACTCCTTGCCTGGCCTCGGGGGGCCTTGGAAGGTGTGACTGCCTGTGCTAGATTAAACTCAGCACGTGGCTGGACCCCCGCTACAAGACAAACACCTACAGACCTTGAGCATGTGAGTATTAAAGGATGCAGGTATAAGACTTCCTGGCAAAGCTGAGATTTGAGGACTGGGAGAGAGAGAATAATTAAGAAAAGAGGAACGACTTTGTCATTAATAGGGGAAAATGTATTCAAATACTGGAGGAGGCAGTGAGACAGATTTGGAGCCTAGTGGCCCTGGGATTTAGTCCTGGCTCTGCATCTTGCTGTGCTGCTTTTGGCCAATCATTTCACCTCTCTGAGCTTCATTTTCTATTTTTGTTGTCTCTAACGAAGTGATGCTGATACTGATCTTGCAAAGTGATTACAAAAGTTAGAGGAAAAATATATAATGTATTTGGGATAGTGATTAACCCATATTGCACATCCTACTGTTCTTATACTGCTTATGTGGGTTTTAGCACTATCGCTATAACACTGTTTTTACTTATTCAGTAAGCACTTAGTATGTGCTAAGTACTTCATGTGCATTTTTTTCTTCACAATATCTGATGGATACTGGAGCAGGTCCAGTTCATAGACTAGCATTTTAGGTGCATAAATTTCATCAAAGTGCATATAAATATTCAAGACTGAAAATGACCTCAGACTTCCTTACTCAGTAATTCCAGTTGTTAGAATCTGCCCTAATGAATAATCAGAGGAACAGACAGATTTCTATACATTGATGTTTCCTGCAGCATTATTAATCATAGTAAAAAAGTGTTAGAAATATTCACATATAGAAAACAGAAAAGAATTGAAAAAACATACCAAAATATTAATAAGAATTATCATAGGTGTGCGATTGCAACTGGTTTTTCTTCTCTTCTTTACACTACTATCTATTTTCTAGTTAGTTTTCCAAAATGACTTTGTATTATTTTAGTATTGTGAAACTGTTTTTAAATAGGGGAGCTTAAAAATGTTTTAGCATGGCCTCACACCACACAGCTGAGGAACTTACACAGCCCCTCCCCCAGGGCCCTTCCCGTCCCCAGGCAGCCTGTCCTGTCCTGTGCCTGTGCTGATTATTTGGAGCTCTCAAACTGTGACGACCAGACCCACCTCCCTGGTTCTGGCTTGCACACCACTACTGACTAGTTGTGTCTTTATTTTTCGTGATGTCTCTTATGACACTTAGTGCCTCTACCTCATCACCAACAGGGACTTCCTTGCAATTTCTTAGGGCCCTCTGGTGTTGAGACCAGCCAGTGAGGCCTGGCTCCCCGATTCTCCCCTTCAGGGTGCTGTCCACCCCTCCACCCTTGTGTCCTTCAGGTAGGGTTGACCAGATGCCCCAGGAGCTCTGGGGGACACACTGATGGGGTCATCTGGGGCCTTGTGTCCAAATCTGGGTTCAGGAGGGCAACGTGACTGGGCAGTATTCTTTCTTGGGATATGAATTTGGGTACTGATACACAGAGTTGGGGTGTCTCAAATTGTTTATGTAGATAGGGACCCCACAAACATATTTGTTCCCACACCCTACAGGAGGCTCTATTGACCCGTCACTGCCCCGGCCATGCTGTTCTAGACAAAGACTTTGTCAGTTCTGCTCAGCAAGCAGGGTACAGAAGCAAACACAGCTCTTGAGGCTCTGGCAATGCAGATAGGACCTTGGCTAAAGAAAGATCCTAGAACTCAGCTGAAAGCTGATTAGGGACAATAAATTGTCACTACAAGACGCTGAGCAAAGGAGTCCTTAAAAATCCATGTGTTCTCTAGAAGCCCAGAAAGACATCAAATCTTAGGCAAAACTAATGGAATATTTCTTACTCAAGTTTTAGTAAATGTAATTTGTTTCTCAAGTGGATGGTATTTCTCTGAGTCATTGGTATTTCTGAGGTGTGCAGTGGTAAATGTAACATTTTATTTTTTAAACTTTGTTCCTGAATGACATGGATTAGAGTTTATCTTAGAGGTACAAGAAGCAAAGGACGGGAGGGGAATGTCTTGGGTGTTCTTTTAGAAATAGGATCACATCCTATCTTCTATCTACTCTCCTGCCGAATATTTTGGCGTTTTTCCTCTCAAAGGTACTTTTAGATTGCTGCATGACGCCCTCCACGGAAGACAAGTCCTGCCGAGACTACCACGTAAGCTCAGTTTATCATAACAATTTGAAGTTTATTTCATTATAATTCTTTAAAAAGTATTAAAAATGTTAGTAGAGATCCACAATCTCAAAAGATGGTAATTATTGTCTTCATTTGTCATATTACTGTATTACTTATAAGACAATTTCCCCTTTAGATCCTCAGTTTCCCCCCTAATATTTTAACTGTTTCTAATAGCATTATTTAGGGTTGCTTGTAGTCTTACATTTTCTTGTGTAGTATTGCCTAAAGAATAAAGTTCTAAAAGGTCTAAGTGATCTTTTGAGAATTCATCTTTTTCCATGACTATGAGTTAAAAATCAATTGAATAACAGCTTCCTAGTATATTAATTTTTGAAAGTAATATGAAATAACTTAATTTACTTTTGTTCAGATGAAATTACTCTACTTTTATTTGGATCACTTAATTTCCAGCGGAATTGTAGGCTTGTGTATTTGTGAAGAACAGTTTTAGGGTCTATACTAGACTGTAATTTTTAAAAATTCTGTCTTCTACAGATCGAGTATAATTTCAGATATCTTCAATGTCCATTAGAATTCACGAAAAAAAATGCACAGGATGTTACATATGAGCCTCTCACAACCATCAATGTAAGTCGTGTTTTCATTATGCAGGTAGTTTCTACACAGGCTCTGTAATGTTTGGTACAATAGTTCAGGAAGGGTCCTAGAGACACTCCCAGATTTATACTTTTATGTCTGTCTGCCATGTGGCCCAACCCTTGATTCTTTAGTAAAAAAAGCAATCATTTTCCCCCACAATTGCTATAATTTGGTCTCCTTAAAGTTCCCCACTCTTGATCACTTTAGTCCTCATGGTCATGCTAAACCTGTCCCAATCAGAATCCAATAAACCATGGACAACACAGGCTGTCCACCTAAATACAGACACATATTTATGAGTTTGCTCCAATGAAAACTAGAGGAAAATGCAGGGCTTGACATTTTGCAGTCATAGCTTCCAAGCTCAGCTGACCACTGGGCTCCACGGTAAACTCCGAACTTTCAGAAGCTCTTAGATCCTTCTGGAAGCGTAAATGCACTCTGAGAGCAGATCCTAAATGCTCACCGTGGACCCCAAATTCCCAAGAGACTTGCTCCATACTAGTTCTTATTCTAAAGAGTGCTTCTGCATTTCTAGCAGATGAGGCAATAAAAGCTGTGCAGCTAATCGACTTCAGCCTAAACCAGGGTCTTAGACTCAAATAACTGCACAGGAAACAGGTAACAGACATGCGACGAGCTCCTGGTGTGAAAAGATGATGGCTGATCGCTGTTGCCATGTGGGAATGGCAGCCCAGACTCTGTAAATATTGGCAACAAAGAAAAGTGTGTGCATAAGAAAAAAAACATTTGAGGGTTGGCTTTGTAGATTGTGGTCTAGGGCCTAGATCTGTGATTTCTAATGTGGTAACCATGAGCCACATGTGACTACTTAAATTGAAATGAAATAAAGTTAAAAATTTATTTCTTCATTTGCAGTAGCCACAGTTCTAGCACTCAGGAGCCTATGTAGTCTGTGGCTCTCATACTCAACTGCAGAGATACTGGACATTTCCATTGTTGCAGGAAGTTCCATTGGGCAGCACTGGTCTAGACCAGTTCGGAACTTTCATTCACCTTAAATGAATTCACTTCCCTACATGAAGGCCTTTGGTACAGACCATGGTACCGACCGTCACCTAAAGTGAAATTCTCGAAGGCTTACTGGGTACTTGGAACGTGAAGGAAGCCGTCGTGTGGATTTCATGCCCACAGGGCTGGTGATGGCAACGGGCTCTCACATTTGCTCGATGTAAATAAAGCATTTTAGTTCTGCTGGAGTCTATTATGTTTTGCAGTTGTTATAGTTCATACTCAATAGCCAAGTGACCTAAGAGTAACTCCACTACAGTTATACTTAGAGACTTTTTGCCTATGTGTGGGTTTATTTTTTCATTGTAATCGAGTGAATAGGCAATTACTTTATCAGAAAGAGTTTCTTCTCTCCACCACTAGAATAGGAGGAAATAAAATACTTGCAGCTTTTAGAAAGAAACAGACTCTGAATAATATAAACTCAGTATAATTTATATGAAACAGGCTCACTTGAACAGCTACACCACACTCAGGGGTGGCACGTAAGCACTTGATTGACTAACGCCTCATAACATAGCAAACCTTGCTTCAGTTGTAGGAGAGCTGAGTGGGCGTCTTCTGGAGAGATAGCTGGTCTGGTGCAGGAAATTATTGTGCACAGAAGTCTGAAAGTCTAGATGGACCTGTCAGCGCTCAGATTCAGGCAAGACAGAAACCAGACCATCAGCAGTCCCCCGAAAAGAGAAGCCAGATATCTCTGGATCTCACTGTTCTGTGCTGGGGGAGGGGCTAATAGCGAGTAAATGCCTTGAATTTTCCTGCTGCCTTGGACTACAGGCTCACCTGGGGTGCAGGAACCTCTTACCTAGTTTCCTGGATTTCTCACAAAGGCAGTGAGCCTGGGTATTGTTGTTAAGTTGCTGTCTCCTGTGTCAGTGGGTCTGGGGCTTCCTATTCCACTGTCTTGCTGACACCACGTTCTCTATATATTTATTGAAAATTAATTTTGAGATAGGTACTAGTAGTTTCCAATAACTCATGAAAAATTATAAAATACAGGCTAACTGAACTACTATTATGTGTTCTTTACTGTTTAAAACCCTTCTAGAAAGATGAGCCTGGGTTTCTTCAAGGAAAGACCAAGGGTGTAGCTCTTGCTTATTTACCTTTAATGTCCTTTCCAGTTGTAACTTGTATAAGACTGAAAAGCTGATGCTACCTCAACTAGTGAGAAATTGAAAGAGACAAATCCAATCAAATACTTGCATCTGTGTTAAAGAGTTCTCTCTAGCTTGCGGTTAAAAAAAAAAAAAAAGACATTCTTGAAATAATTTTTGGTTTTTCAAATTTTCTAAAATAAACAGTTGTTACTTTTATAATATCAGATGAAGTTATAAAACCAGCAAACAAGTAGCTTAATTTATACTTGATAGCTTAATATGATTCTAGTTTTATTAATCTTTTCTTATTTCTCAGACAATGGTACAACATAACCGTATAGAGCTTCTCAACCATCCTGTGTGTAAAGAATATTTACTTATGAAATGGTGGGTATTAGGTAGTATTTCTTTTTAATGATATCTTCATTAAATTAAGTCTTCTAAATAATTATGTTTTAATGGGATTTTAATGTNTGTAAAGAATATTTACTTATGAAATGGTGGGTATTAGGTAGTATTTCTTTCTAATGATATCTTCATTAAATTAAGTCTTCTAAATATGTTTTAATGGGATTTTAATGATTTAGGCTTTATTATTTTAATGTTTTACACTTTGAAAAAGAAATGTGTTGAAGGCATATTTTGGTTTAAAATGATGATATCATTTATTTTTAACATTAAATGATATATTTGGGGGTGGGGAAATCACTATATAAGACAATGAGAGGCATTCCTCGGCCCTGCAGTTAAGGGGCCATGAATGAAGTGAGAGGTGTGTTCCTGGGAAGAGCAATCAATTTGGAATCAGAAGACATGAGCTAACATCTCTTCCATTAATTGGTGAGAGATTTTTAAGTAACTTATGGTTTACTGGGAAGTTGAAATTCCTGTTTTGAAAATAGAAAAGATGAATTAAAAAATCTTGGTTCTAAAGTTCAGTGGATTTACCAAGTAGGTTTCTGAGAGAAGTCATAACTATTTTTCCACAGGTATCTTAAGGAAATATATCCTGTTGAAACTCCTCAATTATGGTTTACTTATTTTTTTGTAGGCTGGCTTATGGGTTTAGAGCCCATATTATGAACCTAGGATCTTACTGCCTTGGTCTGCTGCCTATGACCTTTCTTGTTGTCAGTATTCAGCCAGGTATGGCTTTCAACTCAACTGGAATCATCAATGAAACAAGTGATCATTCAGAAATACTAGACAACAAGGTATTTTTCCATTTATTTTCATATTTCAACTTTTAAAATAAAGGATTATTAAAAGTGTGATTTTTTCCTTAGGAATAATAGCCCCATAATCAATCTGAAATACCAGGACTTTGACTATTATAAGTAGCCTATACAATTCATATATGGTAACAATTTCTCCTAAAATCCTTTGTGAAATGAGAGGGAATATAAATAAATAGGTCACTAAATGAGTTTGTAAATTAAATGAAAGGAATTGACATGTATGAGATGCTAGCTTGAATGCTGAAGTATAAAACTTCAAAAGTGGTGTATAAGAAAGCAGATTTGTGGCTGCCAGCGATTGTGGGGAGAGAGGGATGATGCTTAGTGGGTACAGGGTTTCCGTTTGGGGTGATGAAAAAGTTATGGAACTAGATGGTGATGATGGTGTATAACACTGTGAATGTACTTCATGCCACAGAAGTGTACATTTTAAAATGTAAATGTACATATAAAATGTAAAACTCTTGAAATGACGCATTTTATATAATGTGTATTTTACCAGAGTAAAATGATTTTTTACATAAGTCTTCAGATTCATACTCCTTTAGAATTCAGTTGGCAACTTTTGAACCTGTCTTACTTGGGACATTATGAAATGAGTATGTGTCATCTTTACGTTGGCATCATAGTAATTTTCTGTTTAAAGCAAATATGGACAATACATAAAATGAAGCAAATGGAAAACAAAAAAATTGTAGCTGGAAATTATTAAGAAATTGTTGTTTTCATGTGTTGTTTTCATGTGTATCCTTATAAGTGCTTGTCTTACATTATTTTGTGTTTCAGAATTCATATCCTATAAAAGTTTGTATGATTTTAGTTTTTTTATCAAGTATATTTGGATATTGCAAAGAAGTGGTCCAAATTCTCCAACAGGTAAACAATACATTTTATATCTCTGAAGCTGTAAATATTTTAATATGCAGAACACAAATTAATTGCTAAACTGCTATTGAAACAATTATGTTGGAATAAAATCACATACCTGTACAAAAGTATAGATTGGAAATACCAAGCATAAACTTCTCCAAATGTAGAAACCACGTGGTTTTAGATTCGCTTCCTGCACTGGATGGTGCCTGTTAGAGACACCTGAAGCAGAGCCAGTCCAGACTGACAAGTCCATGTGGGTCTGTCTGGCTGCAGATGAACTTGTGAATGACTCTTCTGTGCTTTCTCTGATTATTGGTTTAATATTTTGCTAACATAAAAACTAGGTTTTGAATTTGATAATTTTGAATGTAACTGTTTACAAAGAACTTACTTGGGCCAAGACTCCATTTCAAGTGTGTTTTTCTTTGAATTCCTTTCCTAAAAGGAATACTTCTATTTATTGCCTAAAATTTCAAGTTATAATAAAATTTGGGAACTTTTTTTTAGCATAATTTTTACTTTCTACTCTACTTTTTTAAATGGATGGACCAAGTTCAGATCAGATTCAAGGACCTTGCTCTGGTTGATAAATGGCATCAGTCTTTTATTTCTAAGTCTTTCATTATTCATTTTTGGGGTATACTTTTAGCAAATGATATTTTTTATGTTATATACCTTTTACATAATATCTCATTTTCTATGGAAATTTACCTCATTACATAATATAAGCACATGGGTATTTGCATGATGATAATAGTGCTTTACATTTGTTTTATAATATACATTGCATATTTTATATGTATATAGTTTCAGTAACTTGTCACAGTTCTGAGAGTTAGGACCATATTGTTCCATTGAACGTTAAGTGATGTAGGGCGAATTATTTAATGTCTCTTGTCATTTTCATATTTTAAACATGAGAATTACAGATTTGTTCTCCACATTTTCTTGTTGTTAATGGTCTACTCTACATGACATCTTTAAGAACAGAAAATACACCAAATCAGTATGGTAATTGAGTCTTAGCACAGGTCTCAGACCTCCTTAGAATCAGTATCAGTTGCTTTATATCCTGAGAAATCCACACGTGTGTCCATATAGAGGCAGAAAGGAATTACTAAACCAACCGGCAGTCCCCCTGGAGCTTTCCTCGAGATGGAGTGGGCTCTGTGGGGAAAGCCTAGAAACGTGAAGAATTTCCTTACGCATCACACTCCCCAAGTGTCAGGTCAACAGAGGAGGCTGGGCCACCTCCCACGGTGATACGTGCCCAGGGCCCGGGTTCGGTCCGGGGTGGCAGGACCCACACTCCCCAGCTGCAGCAACAGAGAACGCTTGGGACTGGTCACAGGCATGTAACCATCCTAAGATGCCAGGTCCTGCTCTCTGCCTGCGGTAATTCTCCGTTCTTTCCAACCCCAGAAAAGGAATTACTTTCTAGATCACAGCAACGGCGCTGAGTGGGTCATCTACACGACGAGCATCGTTTTCGTGCTGCCCCTGTTCGTGGCAATACCGGCCCACGTGCAGTGGCAGTGTGGCGCCATCGCCATTTACTTCTACTGGATGAACTTCTTACTGTATCTTCAGAGGTAAAGCCCGCTTCAGTGACTTCCGCGTCCTTTAGGCAGGTTTCATATGAGAGAAGAACTATTATAAGTCCCATAAGTTTGTCACTGGCTCGTTCCTTTTCTGCTTGTAGGCTGTGAAGAGACCTTTTCTATGCTGTTGAGGGGAAGGGGAGGGAGGTTGGCAGTTCAGAGTGTGGACCAGGTTTCTCTCAGCCTCGGCACTATTGGAATTTGGGGCCAGATAATTCTTTGTCAGGGAGTAACAGTGATAGGAGGAAAAAGTAAGCCCCAAAAATCTAATTCTAGAGAGAAAGAAGGGCTAAGTGCTCTTGCCTCCCACAATTGCTAATGTCAAGTTCAATATGTTATTTAAGCCTTGGCTGGCTGGAGCCTCAGCCTTTATGCCAGAAGGTTGTGAGTTCGATTTCCTGTGAGGGCACATTCGTAGGTTTTGGGTTCTGTCCCCGGTTGGGGCGTGTATGGGAGGCAACTGATCGATGTTTCTCTCTCCCATCGATTTCTGTCTCTTTCTCCCTTCATCTCTCTAAACATATCTTCAGGTGAGGATTAAAAAAAAAATAACTCTTATGTCACATGATCTCTACAATAACAAGAGATAAATGTTATTACTAATAGTCTGTAAAAGAAGCTGGGGCACTGAGTTAGTAAGTTGCCCAAGATGTCAGCTAGTCAGTCCGATGTCGGCATTTTACCAAAGTCTCTCCAACCCCAGGGGCCACGCTTTCCCCACCTTCAGATCTGCATTGCTGTCATGAGCACAGTGCTGCGGGGCTGAGCCCTGCCCCCTGGAAAGGACAGTGGTGACCTGGACAGTGGGAACAGTGGTGACCTGGAAGGAAAGAGGCTTCAAGACAGGCCCGGGCAGTGCCACTCTCTTGGCTTTGTCATGATCAGTAACAGTTTCTAAGACCTCCAAAGTCCCTTTCAACTTTAAAACCTGTGACTCCTCTCTTAACAGGTGTTTTTGCCAAAGGGAAAGTACAAGTTAGTGACCAGATGATACCCGTTATCTACCCCAACATTTCACAGTGTAGGTTGCTGGGGGAGACACAGGAAAGCTTGGGGAGCTGTAAGGATGGCGAATGTGAAGTGTGCGTATGTGCCCTGTGAGGAGCTCATTTCATTGCTCCCCACCGAGGCCCCACACAACTCATCTCTCATCCCCTCGTTGTCTGGTAGCACTATCCTGGATACTGGAAAGCTATGATTTCTCTCTCCAACTTTAGCCAAGTGGTAAAACAATTAAAGGTAAACATTAACAAGGAGGAAAAAAAGAAGAAAAAAGCAGGTTGAATGACTAGATTGAAAATAAGACTTGACTAGTCATGAATTCTCATATCTCCTTTTTGGAAGCAGCTGGCCTCAGTGATATCACTTGTGAAAACTAGTGTCTAGTGCGAGATAAATACTGACACTGTGCGAAGTATAGTGGGCCAGAAAAGTGAGTAAATATTCTCATTTTTCACATTCTACGAGGTTTGAAAATTGTGGGATCTTCATTGTTATGCTGGAGGTCATCATGAAGACCTTGCTGAGGTCCACGGTCGTGTTCATCTTCCTCCTTCTGGCCTTTGGGCTCAGCTTCTATGTCCTCCTGAGCATACAGGTGAGGAGCCCCACCTGTGGTTCATTTTGCTGCTGTAGACACTGGGAATATATATTTAAATATTGGGAATATATATTTATACTGATATCTTCATGGTGTATAAAATTGATAATAACACAGCAATATTTGGACACTTTCGTCTTATCCAATATATTGGCATTCAAATGATTTTCATTGCAGGAAAACGTAAAGCCTTGTTAAATGACTTTTTCCATTGTCAAAAAGCTTATGTATCATGCATGATGATTTGTTACATGCGCAGAAAAGACCATTTTGATGACTTTACCACCAGTTTATTAGTAGTTTTTGTCACTTTATTTGAGTAGCCGTATCCTATAACCTTAAAAATGTTTTAAATAGGATTTGTATCATTTTACCCTCCAGGAAGCATGTTTCATTATATGCACTTTGTTTTTCCCTTACCACCTTTCCTCAGGATGCTTTCAGCTCTCCACTGCTTTCTATAGTCCAGACCTTCAGCATGATGCTGGGAGACATTAATTACCGCGATGCCTTCCTGGAACCGTTTTTGAGAAATGAACTGGCATATCCACTTCTGTCCTTTGCACAACTAATTATCTTCACAATGTTTGTCCCAATCGTCCTCATGAATTTACTTGTAAGTAATTTATCCTTGTATTTCCTGTTTGTTGATTATTTGGGACATGTAATAATAATTATTCTTAGCCTCCTTAATCTCCCTCCATGAAGGGAAAAAAGGACAGCTATGAAATTCGTTCTTTGATTTACTTCTTGGAGTGGGCCAGGCACGGCGTGGGGCCCAGGGGATGCAAAGATGTCTTCTTGGCAAGAACCTTCTAAATGCCAGACACTGATCCAGGGGGTGGGAAACAGTGGTGAACAAACCACATCAATTCCCAGTCCCTACATGATTATCGAGTTGAGAAGTGAGGCAGTGGACAAATAAACACGTAGCGTGAGGGCCCGGGAGTGAGCGACGCCAGGAGGAACTGAAGGCGGGAGGAGAAAAAGACGAAGGGCGTGTGCGCCTTGGGGCTGCCGGTGGGGGAGGGCGAAGCCTAGACAGCGCCTTCATGGGGTGGGGAGGAAGAACCCCTCTCTCGAATCTCACGGACCAGAGATTTAAGTGGGAGGGTGTTTGCAGCATTCAGTGCCCCTCTAACGAGTCAGAGGCTGGCCACCCCGCAGACACGGCCCTCCCTTCCACGGAGAACCTGCCCGGCCACGAGCATCCTGGCAGTGCAGGCAGGAAGGTACCCCAGGTCCTTGGGGAGCCCGCGCCCACATCGCAGGGCATGATTTTCCTTACTCATTTACTCGAACATGCACATGTTCCACACACATTTTTGGAGTCTGACTATGCACCAGGGACTGTGCTAGGCAGTGTTTCCAGGAAGGAAAAAATAATACAGACCACTTAGCGTTTTGATTCACTTCATACAACTCCAGAGTTTTATTTTGGTGACCTAGAAAAATAAAGATGGCATGAAGAATGACAGAGAATGATGTGAAACCCACACCATCTCTTAGATTCACTTACCTTTTGGGAAATCATTATCTAGAAGAGAATTTGGCTTAGCAGTCGTTCTCTACCTGCACGTCCCAGAGCAAAATCAAACCCAGCAGGGCCGAGACTGCAGTGTTCTCCTTCCTTCAGCCTGACTCAGGCCCCTGGGAGATACTCTCCATCCGCCCAGCCCCCTTTTCCTCAGTTCTTCCAGCAGATGGCTGCTTCCTCTTAGCTCGCACCCTCACGGTCCCTCGCCCTTACTGCTGCAGGAGACTGAAGAGTTTCTCCATGCCGTCTCATTTCTCTGTCTAATCCTCCCTGCAAATTATCACCACAGTGATGTTCTGATAATGAAAAGCTGGGCTCATCAGAGGCTCTTTCAGATTTTTTTCTATGACTCTAAAGCTTTAACCCAGTCTAAACCCATGAGCGCAGCATGCAAGGATCCTGGTGATCTGGATCCTGCACACATCTCACCCAGCTCCTCACTGCTGGCGGGTTTCACCTGGACGAGCACCACGCGCGCATGTTCAGGGGCGGTATGCCAGGCTTTCCTTCCTGCCGCCTGGCCTCCGCTCTTCCTTTCCTAGAAGCCCTCCCACCTTGGGTTAACCCTTTCTAAGCTTTCAACATTCAGCTCACGCATCATCTCTCGTGGGCAGACTTATTCTCAACCAACTCCCCCTCCCCAGTCACCTGCGTCTGAATCGGGTGCCCCTTTCTTGTGTTATCGTAGTTTTGAGGATACAAATCGGAGAAAGAAAATAATAAAAACCGACTTCCTAGGTTATTGTAAGGATGAAATGAGCTAATACAAAGCACTTAGGACACAATGTGCATTCCACATCAAAATGTTAGCTACTATTAAACAGTAAAGGTATTTGATTAATATTTAATTGTTAATTTTCACTTACTTTAATTAGTAAATTACCATGAGACTCAGAAGCTTATAACTTATATTAATAAACTATCATGGGACTCGAAGCTCAGATGACTCACAAGCTGTAAGTTTGACTCACAGGCTCAGTGTCTTCAGGGCCCAGGCAAGCACCTTGGACGTACGAAGCAGCAGTTATGAGACAGTTGGTTTTGATGGAGGCTGATCTAAACCCGAGAGGATGCCCAGCTCCAGACTTGCAAATTGAAAAACAGAAAACATTATCCTGCCAACCAGAACCTACTTGCTGACTATACAGGGTTTCCCAAAAAATGTATACACACTTTAATGGCTGACAGCTCAATTTTGAAAGTGAAATGTATTTTAATAAACACCGCCATTATAATTCAAAGTGTATGTATACATTTTTTGGACACCCTGTACTTGGTTCTCAATACTAGTTTGTATACCCTAGAATATACTTTCACTGCTCATTCAGCCATTATTTTGTGTGCCTACTATGTGCCTTGTACTATTCTAAGCACTGGGCATATGGTGGTGACCTGGCCAGACAGAGCCCTTCTCTCCTGGAGTATAATTGACTTTGAGCCCCTGAGAGTAGGGACTGGCTTTTCCTCTCCGGCCACAGCAAGCAGGCTGGTTCCGCATAAACAGAAACTGAGTGTCTAATGGTGAAAGACACTCAGCGAATGTAAGCAGTTTAATTTGGACTGAGTAGAACTGAGCTGACACCTTCCCCTCACCTGATTCTACCTAGCCATGGGTTTCTAGGTGGATTTTTTTCTTACCAGAGCCTCGCTCACCCCTAAAGCACACTTTTTCCTGCAAAACATAGGTAAGATATAAATTCCTTCATTACCTCAACTTAATGTTTGAACTCTTCCATGTTGTCCAGTCGCTCTTGGTCACCTTAGATGCTAAACTCCTGCAATTTCTAACTATGTTGCATGGCTGTTCCCAACTGCATTTGATATCGCATCACCCTCTTCATCCCCCAAAAGAACATATTTTTACTTTAAATTAAAATGAATTTCAGATGAACTTGTATGTCTTAACTTTTCATGATAACATTTGCATTACTACGCCCACCACCATGACCATCACTGTTAGAATTATACAGGCTTTGCAGCTTCTGTGAGGTGTGGAAGCCAAGTGTGTCAAGGACACTGCTGGTAAATTTCATGCCACTCTCACAGTATCCAGAGAGAGAAGGTAAGCGCATTTTGATGTGAGCCATTAAACTGGTCGTGATTCAATGCCGTGTTGTGCTTCAGATTGGTTTGGCCGTTGGGGACATTGCCGAGGTCCAGAAGCACGCACTGCTGAAGAGGATCGCTATGCAGGTGAGGCTCATGTTTGAAACCAGCACCATCCTAACTATTCACACGTCAGCATGGCTGAGTTCTGAGAATGAGCCGTTGAACACGGGCATTTTCTCAGTGCCGTGCCTGCGGTGCATGTTCTCAGGTGCAACTGCGATAGAGAATCAAAAACAAAAAAATCTCTACAACAGCCTCAGCAGAGAAACTGAGAAATCGCTTGAGCCTCTTTTAGCTCAACATGTGGCTAACCAGGTAGCTAGCCCGTCTTGTCAGTGGGTGAGATGAAAGCAGGGGAAGGTGACCGGCTATTAGGGGCCAAGGAAAACTGTGAGCAGCTGCCTGTGTGCAACTCAGGACACAGGAGCCAGTTTTCAGTTGGCTGTACTAACGCTTGAGTCTGTGCAGGGTGAGAATTCCAGATGCTAATTAATGATTCCTATCACTAATTCCAAAACTCACTTTAGGTGGAACTTCATACCAACTTGGAGAAGAAGCTGCCGCTCTGGTTCCTACGCAAAGTGGATCAGAAATCCATCACTGTGTATCCCAACAGACCCAGATACGGCCGAGGGTTATTAGTAAGTACATGTGACCAACATTGACATAAAGAGTGTCACCACTGGATGGTCATTCATCGTGTATCCCTCAGGGTGCCCTTTTACACACTTTGAGTCACTCTGCCTGTGGGAAACAAATAATTGTGCTCTAAAAAAAAAAGTGCAGGATGAAGCCAGAATGAGAAAGTGATGGGCAGTGCAGAGGGGACATTGGTCTCTGTTCCCAGGTGGCTCAGCCACACTCGGTGTTAAACATGTGCCACATCCTTGTGGACCAGCTATACCATTTAAGTGTCCTTTTCACAGTGCAAGTATGTTTTGTTTTTCCTAATCACATGTCACATATGTGCAGATGTATGTGCATATATACACATGTACATGTTCACAGATACACACGGAGTATACATATAGAAAATACACAAAGATTAAGCCAGGCCATTGCATTATAATGAAACAGGAACTATACTAAGAGCCAGAAGTACTGAATGCTAATCCTAACTATCCCTGGGCTCCCTCCTATTTCCAGGAATATCCTTTCTGAGTTCTCTGTAGGTTAGTTTTCCACTGTGTAGTAATAAAATGGTAAAGGCAACCTAAGTATCAGCCTAGGCTTTATTCTCACGCTATGCTACCTCCATATCTGATTTCACTCATGTCCATGGTTGCAGTTTCTCCCTAACACAGAAGCTCAGCAATGGATTTCTCGGGCCTAGAGCTCTCCTTTGCATTCCAGGCGCCAGTAGCCAACTATCAACTTGGCATCTTCCCTGGTGTGTCTCAAAGGTCCCTCAAATTCAGCATGTTCAAAACAAACTCATGCAAAACAAGCTCATGACTTTCACTCCTCCCTTGCATCACTCCCTCCCATGTGACATCTGCTACAGGCAAAGGCTGAAAGAGCCTGCCCTTCTCCGAAGTTCCTTATGTCAGTTAATGTCCACGCCCTTCATTTGCCTGGCCGGGATGTCAGCCTTGACACTGCCCCTCCCTTTTCCTGTCCCCTCACATCCAGTCAGTCCCAGGCTTAGGCCATCCGGCTTCCTGAGTAGCCTCCTCTTGCCTGGACTCCTAGAATTACCTCACTCCTGGCCATTTCACATCTGCCCTTGATCCGCTCTAGTCCACTAAGGGTTTAAGGGTTCTAAATTTAAAAAATATATTCAAATAGCCTTTCAGGAATTTCCCCGTGTGGAATTCAGCTGTGTCACGTAATGGGGCAGAGCAGTTTGGGAGAAATAACTAATCCTGTAGGAAACACCACCACTTACGGACATTTTTCATGAGTACTTTCTCATGAAAACGATTCACTTAAACCTCTTTCTAAACAGCCCTCCACTCCAGCTTACCCCTCCTTCTGTATTATTTATAGAGCTTGCATTCTCCTTTGTTGTGTGCATGATTTCCTTATGGAGCTCTTGGCGTGTCTGTTTCTCTCAGCAGACTGTGAGCTCCTTGAGGGCATGGCTCTCATTAGATATTTGTGTTAGCATGCCCTGGTTCAGGAGCTGAATTATGGCACATGTTCAAAGAGTAGATCCCAAATTGAGTTTAACTTGAGTAACTATTAATCTTTTATCCCACAGTGTATATTTCATAATATCTTTTGTACCCAAGAAGTAAGACAAGAAATACCAAATGTTGATACAGCTTTAGAAGTAGAAATATTGAAGCAGAAATACCGGTATGTATTTTTCCTTCTACCTGTATTTGAGAAACTTAAGAGTCTTAACGATGCATAGTATAAGGTTATACTGAATATTTGTGTTTATCTCATGCATTAAGGCATGCTTTAACTCACTGATGTTGTTAGGAGATTGGGAATCATGAGTTTCTAGACCCAATGACTTATTTGCTGCCCTTCACCAATCAGTATCTTAAGCTACATCCCTCACGAGCCATCTGAATTCATACATCAAAGCTCTGCAAGGTTTTGAGGATCCTTAGAGCAGCTATATAGTGTACAGTGGTTGAGTGTGAGGGTTTTAGGGTTCATTTACCTGAGTTCAAGCCACGTAACCTTTCTGTGCAACAGTGTTTTAATCTCTAAAATGGGAACAGAAGTAAACCAGCCATGAGCCAACAGTGTAACAGTAGGAAAACCGCTTAAACTTTAAAAATATGTATTCTTTAGAAGGATGCTGACTGCCATGAGGCTGTAACCTGAGCACAGGTAATACAATACAGAACACTTCTAGTACTGGGGCCTCTGTGCACTCAGAGGGCTAAAATAAATTCGTGAAATGTGTACGTCCCTTTAGGCTGAAGGACGTGACTTCTCTTCTGGAAAAACAGCACGAGCTTATTAAACTCATCATTCAGAAGATGGAAATCATCTCGGAGACAGAGGATGAAGACAACCATAGTTCTTTTCAAGACAGGTATAAAAAAGAGCGGTTAGAACAAAGGAATAGCAAATGGAATTCCGTGCTGAAAGTAGTAAAGGCCAAAACACAGTACCTTTAGCAGTAGCTACCTAACCAGCAGGGCTTCCTGTGTGTGTATCTCTTGTATATTGAACACAAATATAAATATACACACGGGGTCTGATTTCCAATTTGGAAAGAATATGGAAAGAGCAGAAAGCTGCTCTCTTTCCCTCCATGTGAAACCACATTTCCTGCATCCCGTGCAAAAGTGAACAATCTCTTTCTAGTCACATTTTCTGCCAGTCATTCTGTGTTAGAAATCTCCTTGGTGATATGTTCAAGTTGGACTTTATCTCTCACTATTGGAATGGGTAGAAAGTAATTTGCTAGAACACACATTTTGATGATAAGGAGTAATAAATGTGACTGTTGAGTTAGAATACAAATGTCTAGAATACTAGAGCCCCACTCGGTAATTATGTAATATGTAATGCATTAAACAGTGAAGAAATACATTGGCTTCTACCATTTGGCATGCTTCTTTGTGTTGGAAGATCCTGTGGGTGGAACACTGTGTGCCTTGTTCTGATCCTAATAAATGGCCCCACCCGTCTGCATCCAGCATGCCTGATGTCACTTTGAGTTGAGGTTCAAATTGATATGCATGAATTTTACTACAGATAGCACGTGTTATTTCTGTAGCTTTGTTTGCCAGTGATCGTAATAAATGTAAAACCTATGTAGTCACCCCAGTGATTATTGTGAGCTGTTCATTGTGTTTAGTTTTTTCAGATTTGCAAAAATGCCTCCATCACATTCGCCCTTTTGTCTTTTGATGCCCACTGTCAGTCACACGCTTTTCGTTCATCTTTTCAAGGTGCCTCTCTCTCTCAAAGTAAATAATAGAAACTTATTTTTCACAGTTCTGGAGGCTAGAAGTCCTAGATGAAAGTGTCAACATGGTTGGGTGAGGGCCCTCATCAGGGTCACAGACTTCTTGTTTTATTCTCAAATGGTGACAAGAACGAAGGATATCTCTGGAACCTCTTTTATAAGGGCATTAATCTCACTCATGAGGGCTCTGCCTTCGTGACCTAATTACCTCCCAAAGACCCCACCTCTTAATACAGTCATCATGGGGGATAGGATTTTAACATATGAATTTTGGGGGGACACAAACATTTAGGGTGTAAAAAATGACCAATAAGTTATAAATTATTTGAAAAAAGTATTTACCATTCTCTGTGACCACAACCCTTGTCTGCCATTTGTAAGCCATGTGTAAAAATGATAAAACAAACACTGCAACAGAAATAGAAGAAAATAAAAATTCAAACTTACTAAAATAATTTTAAAGAAATAAAAGGCATTTCTTTCTCTAGCTATCATAAATAATGGACTTGGGACTAACTTACCTCCCCATCATACAACTACTGGACAAAATGTATGAAACAACTGATTTTAGACAGAAAGCAGATAGAACTGTGATCCATGAATAAGGGGGGCGTGTATCCTTCATTCATCCCACTCAGGGTGCTTCTCTTGATTTATTTTATTTTCCCCTTTGCCCTAATTCTTCTGTTTATTCCCTTATGACCCCCAAGAGACACCCACTCTCATGAGTCTCTTTGGCTATGTATGTATCCTTGTGTTACACTGAACAGTGTTGTTTTGGGCATGTTTTTATTTATATAGGTGCTATCATGCTATGTTTCTTGTTCTCTTTCTTACCTTTTTACAGTGGACATTGTATCTATGACATACGACTGTGGGACCATCTGTCCATCTAGTACAGGGCTTCTAACAACTGCTTGCTATCATTGTGTGTACCCCACACTGGGCTTATCTCTCCAGAGACAGACATCGTGTTGGCTTCCACCTCCCACTCTCACACACATTCTCAAACATACTCACACCAACAGGCAGAATGCTGAGTGATGATATGTAATATGAGAAAACCAGACATCTTTTCATTGGTGGTTCAACAGAGCATATGGCCTAGAGGCAATGTTGTGTGTGCCTTGATCTTGGATATGAGGAAGGTCTTTGTCCTTTGTTTTCCTTAAAACAGAAAGCTTGGAAATTTACAATACAGGAACAATAACCAGGGATGTCATGATCATGAAATCAAATGGTCTTTTCACCATCTTCACACTCCTCAAACTTTGGGTGGCATTGCACGACACAGATCTTCATTCCACCGCCAAGAATGTGTGAAACGTGGTGCCCTACCTGTCATGGGGAATACTGATGTGAATAAGCTCTCTTACCTTCTCTCAAGGAGCTGACAGTTTAGTGAGTCATCATTTAACTGAAGTTCTCTCCTCCTTTTACCCCAATACTGCATTTTCCTGTGGCTCCTTCTCTGCAGTCACCTTTGCCTTGAAACGGGTTCAACCCAGGCTGGTAAATGATGCTGCCAGAAAAGGGCCAGGTACATCAAGGATTCTGAAGTTTTCCATAACTGGTGAATGGCGGCCCACAGAACTTTGAAATGCAGATTATATTAAATTCATAACAGGAATGTACGGCCTACGTGACAGGGCAAATCTTTCAAAATCTTAAGTTTTTTAAGAAGTTTCAAAATATTGCAAAAGCTAAATCCTATGAGAATAATTTGAGGTGTGATAGTGCCACTGCACGCCCTGGCAGGCATGATAAGGTCATCAAGTGTGCGGCTTTCCTTGTTATTAAGATAATACCATGAGGGCTTCGATGATGAGCTTCACACTTGGAGAGTCAGGCAAGAGAAGCATCTGTGAAAAGCTGAATTGCTGCTTTTAGTTTCCCCAAGATTGGAATACAATTAATCCACTTGGAAAACACAATAAAATAGGGCCAAAATTGCTGAGCTGCTTTGTCATTCTGTTCTTGTATTTTTAGTGTTTACAGTTAAGTTGAAAAGCATGCTATAGAGCTAATAGGCCTTTTACTGGGCATAGCTTTACTGTTTGGGTAAAATGTTTCCTAAGATTCAGGTCCTTTTCTGCTTAGAAAGTGGGAAAAAGTCAGGATGGGTATTTGATGAAAACATTTAGTATGATTATTGGAAATATAAGTACTACTTTGTTTTCACTTATTGTTAATATTTCTTTTTGGGAAACTTACCATAGAAAAATATTACATATGTATATACACACAAAGTATCTGAAAACATTAATTATATCACAAGGATATATACATATGATTTCAAATGACAGAGTTTAATGTTAGTTACACAAATCAGATGGGTAAACAGCAAACTAGGGCTACACGTTTTAGCTGTTATGTTAATATACAGAGTTTCGTATGTTTAATTATAGTTTTTTGATTAAGACAAAAGTATTAGATGCTTTTGAATTAAAGAAGAAATGTATCACAGATAAAGAAAACGAGCACTTAGTCACTAAGCAGCTCTCATCACCTGAAAAAGAGAAGATTTAAGGCAACACAAACAAAAACACACCTCCAACTTAACCTTACCATGTAAATATTCTAAACAGTCAGCTCTAGACAGGGCTTCAGCTGGGCTCTGCTAATGACATTGGGGACTCACGGAATTCCCAGCTGGATTCAGCCTGCCTGCAAACAAGTTAGAGAAAGGCCAACTTTCCTCTAGTGCCCTGTGTATATATTCTGGCTATTTTAGGACATAAGGTAATGGGGAAAAGCACCTTTTGCTTCATTTTCACCATAACGAGAGGCACCATTTGGCATAGTAAAAATTCCACTAGATAAGACAAGAGCAAGAAAACAGGCTGCAACGTGAAAGAATGTTTCTTAACATTATTGGGCACTGGATAGTTTTTTATGATATCTTAAAACTTATTTGTAACTGGTCATGCCTGAGCTAATCTTTGGAGGAAGAGACACCTATGAATTCTCACTAATCAACAAAAATTCTGAGAGACCAGGAACACTAGGGTGGATGTGCATGACACATGTTTATGGGGAAGTGACTAAACCCATTCATAAATTTCCCCTTCGTACATTTCAAAGACCTAGCCAGTGCTATGTAACAGCAGACTGTACCTTCAGTATTGATCAACGACAGCTCTGACAACTACGAAAGTCCATGTGTTTGCATTTCTCTGCAACAGGCAGTGAATTGGGGGACCGTAAACACTTTAAATCATCCATTTTTCTCAGCAAGGAGCCAATTCTATTCAAATCAAAGTTAAAGACACTGTATGATACCTGGCATTTGAAACATAGCTTAGATCATTTCTTTTAAAAATTGAAACCATAAACGTAATTTAAACAGAATAAATACCTATCAGTACACTAAAAAATGAAAAGAAGCAATATAAAAAAGGCTTTAAAAAAGGGAAAGCATCAAGACCCACACAAATCCAAAAACATGCAAACAAGACTATGCAAATAAAACCTATAAATCCTGACAATGAACATAAAAATCACTGAAGGCAAAATACTCTCTGTTTGGGTTAAAATTTTAATTACTAGAGAATAAACTAGCTTTATAGAAAGATGAGCCAAGATAAATCTAAAAATGTAAACAAGAGTGACAAAATGAACCTAACACAAAGAACCCAAGGGAAATTAAGTTAGGCAAAAAGAGTGCTTTACACTGATACAGGTTTTGATCTATTAGGAACTCATGAGCTATTAACCCTTTTGTTTCAAATAAGTTATCAAAATATGTCAAGCTATAGCTGGTAGAAATGAATCATTGGTAGATATGCTGCGGGAAAACTTCACACACCTCCATTAGGCTAATCCCAGCTCTACATTTACGAATTGTGTGACCCACAAAGTTTACTAAAACACAGTTGCCAGGAAACCCTGAGAGAAGAGTCTCCTAGGCCAAGGCAGCCAGCAGAGAGCAGCAGCTGCTATAGGAACCCGGGTGCCAAATTGAGGTTCCCAGGCTAGAACAGGGCCTGGTCAGAAAGGTGGGTCTGTCTGTAGAAGACAGGAGAGTTTGTGAATCCTTTGACTATCTGCTTATGTTTTGTAGTGCGACCACCTCACTTGATCCAGCTTAACCTCTTTTTATGCCAGCTAACTTTTCCCCTTTCTATTTCTGACATTAATATCCTGTTCCGAATAATCAAGAGTTAAAACAATTCATAACCCATGCAACTTGAATTTGTGGGTAAAGAGAGATAATAGTCACTAAATCTGAACTAATACTGGGCCTGATTTTCTTTCCCCCTTACTTGGGTTTTAATGACAAAAATGAAGCTACCTTAGTCCATATGCTGATTGAGGGACCACTTAACCACCCCATATCCCTTACCCAACAAATTCACCAACTGAATTTCAACTGAATGAGACCTGCCATAAGTAAGCTCTTTTTAAAAAATTTTATCTTTACTGTTGAAAGTATTACAGACATCCCCCTTTTTTCCACTCACTGACCCCCTTCCATCTACCCACTCTGCCCCCACTCCAGACCTTCAGGACACTACTGTCTGTGTCCATGGATTATGCATATATGCATGTAAGTTATTTGGTTAATCTCTTCCTACCCCCTCCCCTCTTTCCTCCTACATAAGCTCTTCCTTCACATTTCCTCTTGTTCTCTGTTCCCTCCAGAGCTTGCTCTTGGTGTGGAACAGCATCCACTCCTTCTGGACAGCATCCTTGTCAAAACAATGGTTCTCAAAGGGAGCAGGATGTATTTCAGTGGTGTCATTTGCTCTTTCACTGGGATGCCGAATATTTCTTCTTGACTCTAGTATGTCCTAGTGCCTTGCTATTCAAAGTGGCCCAGCAGCAGGAGCATCCCCAGAGCTTGTTAGAAATGCAG